ATAGTTTTAAATGGGGGTTAGTCTGGGCTCAAGTAAATAACTTGTTTTTATCTAAAAGTGTTATCAAAACTGCCCTTGCCAGCTCTCAAGTAACAATGGCCTTAGATATTTGAAATGTTATCAAAAAAATTATCAGGAACCACCCTATTGGCTTTTGAATAACCGGAGCCTGAAATACTTGAAAGATTACTTAAGCAGTTATTGTAAAGCTGCTTTTGGATAACAATCTTGATAACCCTGCCAAGATTATTGTGAAATTATTGAAAATGTGCTGGGATGTCAGTTCAAATAATCTTCTAATAACATTCTTTATAAATAGCTGATGCTTATCCAAGCCCAATTTGGCAGGCTTTGTCTCTGGTGATTATCTCAGAATTACCTTGAAGATATTTTGAAGTGCACCATATGTGACAACATGTGATGGCCATGTCAAGTCCTTGATATCTTATCCTAACATTCAATATAAACTATCCTACAATTATCTTGAATAAGGAGGTCACACATGCCACTGTTGCACTCCCGCTCTATCCCGGTCTGCTCTGGCAGCCTGTACCTGCCCTGTTCCATGCTACCTATCCTGTTGTTGTTTACCATCATCCTCATCGTTGTCCACCAGCAGCACTATTGTCGCCCATTGCCATTCATCATCATCCATCATCATCTCTGTCATTGTCCATCATCATCTCTATCATCATCTGCCATCATCTGCCATTGTCTGCCATTGTCTGCCATTGTCTGCCATTGTCCATCATCATCTACCATCATATGTGCTTCAAAATATCTTCAAGTTAATTCTAAGATAATCACCAGAGACAAAGCCTGCCAAATTGGGCTTGGATAAGCATCAGCTATTTATAAAGAATGTTATTAGAAGATTATTTGAACTGACATCCCAGCACATTTTCAATAATTTCACAATAATCTTGGCAGGGTTATCAAGATTGTTATCCAAAAGCAGCTTTACAATAACTGCTTAAGTAATCTTTCAAGTATTTCAGGCTCCGGTTATTCAAAAGCCAATAGGGTGGTTCCTGATAATTTTTTTGATAACATTTCAAATATCTAAGGCCATTGTTACTTGAGAGCTGGCAAGGGCAGTTTTGATAACACTTTTAGATAAAAACAAGTTATTTACTTGAGCCCAGATAACCCCCATTTAAAATATCTTTTTGATATCTTTCAAATAATAAGTCCATT